GATAAAGAGCGGGCGGGTCACGTAAGGACACCGGGTGACTCCTTAGACTGGGAATGTGTGTGTTTATGGGAGAGTTTGTCTGCATGTAAGAACATGCCTTTAGGGAAATCATTCACTAATCTGGGAGCTGGAGATTTAAAACAACCCTTCACTCATTTACCTTCTGCTGCAGCAGCTTTACTAAGTCATCTAAAAGGACAGGTGGATGGTTCCAGAAGAATTTACCTGGAATGGTTTGTTCCCTGCAGAGGCACAGGACAAGGGACTGTTATTCACACGTAACGCAACTCATGCAAAGTCTTTGATCACAAAGTATCAAATGTTTCAAGGCAGAGCATTAAAATTTCAATTGTAAAAACCAGATAGATGGATATGGATGCATTAGTTGAAATCCAACTGCCTACCCAACCCATTGCTTTTTATTTTTTCATAATAATAAAAAAGAACAAAAAGAAAATCAAAAGCAAATGTCATGACTTTTCTATGTAGCTTGGATGTTTTTGTTAGGAAAAATTGCTTATTAGCTGGAATGCACATTGTGTTGCTAATAGGTCTGTTTCTGTTCAAATAGAATATAAGTTACAGCTTTGTATCTTTCTTGAGCAGCTCATGGTTTTAAGTTGTATTTGTTTAATTATGGTCATTGCAATCTTTTTTTATATTTGTGTTTTTTATTTGTTTTGTTTTTTTGTAGTAAAAATAAATATGAAGTCTGCTTCATACCCCCAGCTTTCTGGTAGTTTATGGTTATTTGTGGATAAATGTATGTACATTTTCACATTCTTCATTAAAACACGTTGAGAACCTCCTGTTCTTTTCCATTCATCAGTGCTATTTCTCACATTGTTTGTGTGAACAACCCCTCAAGTTTACCTGCTTAGGTCTGTTTCATACAAAACGAGTTTGTGTTCTACCATTACTGTCTCACGAGTGCTGCCGTAAGTCAAGTTAAAGTTGCCATATAATAGAAGTTCTAAATGCATGTTCCTAATCTTGTTGGGAACCATTCATCTATGCATGCTTCAGGTTTTACAATTTTTAATCAATGTCATAACTCGATCTTCCTGTGAAATGACAGCCCTTCTCTCTGCTGTCATATGCTGGACAACTCCAATCATTTAGTCTGCTTAAACCACGATCCTTTCTTAAATTCTACCTCAGGTATGCGTTTAGATCTGCCTCCATCCAATCAACAATAAATAGAAGCAAGCACCCAGCCCACAATTTGATAATCCATATCCCTAGGATGTATGTCACAATATGCAACAAATTACCTTTTGCTACTTTCATTGCATCGCAACATTAAGAAGTAAAAAAAAACATGCATTCCTTTTTATTCCTTGAGGTGCATTCTACTTAACATTGTTTGATGATTTTGTTGTGGGTGAAATAGAGTAATTTCTGTAGGAATCCACACCGTCTGGAAAAGATGTTCCCAAGCAGATTTTGTAATGTGTTGAATTGGTCATGCATATTTGCCATGTTGACCATGTGACCAACTTTGTGTTGTGTTGTTTTTATATGCAATTATGTGTCCGGAGTGAACGTTTTTTTTTTTTTTTTTTTTTTTAACAATATTTTGGTCAGGCATTCTCTTAACCTGTTTCTTTAGCCTCTTTTCATGGTCTAATTTTTTCTCTTCTTTTGGTTGTGGCCATTTCCTTCCCATTTTTGTCTGCTTTGCTTTTTTATTCTTAGTTTATCCAGTCTCTTCTCATGTCATGCTGCCCAGAGGCTTTCTTGGCCACTCTCTCCCGCTCTCTGTTCTTGCCATAACCTCTCCAGGCCTCTGGCCACAGGCCCAGTTTGTGTGGTGTGGGCCCTGGCAGCTGCACTGCATTGGAGTCTGAGGGACCTTAGCTGATATTGGCCCCAGCAGTTTGGTTCATGATTAGAGCCTTGAGTAGCCTGCACCACGATGCCACAACCATACTTTAATTCATAATACTGCAGTTGTCCAGTGGTTTTGATAATGTGAGTACATTCGGTTCATTGACCGCAAAGCCGAATCGCCATCAAATCACGTCTATTAGATATTATGGTATTTTGTGGATGCTTTTATGTTGAACTGTTAACTGCAGACAACTTCCAAGACCAGTTCCTCTAGATTTATTGACTTTCCTAGAGCCACAACGTTAGCAGGAAATGATGCGCGAGCTGCACCCCGTCAGGACAGACTCCATAATCTGATTGCATAATATTAAAATTTATTTTATCTCCTTGACAATTCAACTTGTATTTTAACACCTTTGACGTGCTGTAATATTCTCAAAGACACCTGGATGCCTTCTGGGAAATATTTCATTGCGTTAGACTCTGAGTAGGTCTCTTTTTGAGTGTGGTTTTTGATGCACGGGTTTTGCAGTAATGGGTACATGAGCGTGTCAGAACTCAAACCTGACTCATCAGATGTTACTCTTAATCACCCACACACTATAACAACTTCACAATGTGCCCTTCAACACAGACCCCCCCCCCCCCCCGCAGCCCAGAGTGCAGAAATATACTTCCTATGGACTAAAACACTCATACGTACGCACAGACACTCATACAACACCTCCACACATAGATAGGCCGTATAACGTTTAATTTTTAAACCCCCTAGTCAGTTTCATGCTAACTCTCCATTAAAATGCTTTTAAAACTCTTCTTCGGTAATGCTGATGAATGTTCAACGCTGGAGCAAGACTGACTTCACTGTCTAGACTTTTCTAATCCATTTTGAATGTCTTTCAAAAAAACTCCCGTTTAGTCTCAGAACAGGATTAAAGCCGTTTCAATGATTTGGACAAACAATCGTGAATTCTGATGCTGAGTGAACTCTCTAAGTCTGGTTTTAAAGTTATTTACAGCATCATGTCATATCTATATTGATTTGTGGTGTCTTTCCATCTAAATAGTCTGTTATTTTATGAACTCGCAGTCAATATTGCTTATTAGTACCAAGACATAAAATGCAGACCATACGTTTACTATGTACTGATGCCTTAAAGGAACAGTTCGCAAGTCATTTACTCACCCTTGTGTTGTTCCAAACTGCATGGGAAAAAAGCGATAACTATATTGTTGTCCACACCAACGGATGATAACATTCTATTTAGTATAAGTGTATGATGCAATGATGTCACCTACCTCTTTAAACGCTCACTCTCTTTAATGTTGTCTGGATTCTGATTGGCTCAATTATTGGTCAATTGATATTGATTGGCCAGTTGGTCTGATTGGTCAATGTTTTAATCATCAGCTGGGAAAAAAATTGTTCTGAAAGTGATTCCAGCAATATTGCTGCTGTGTGTCATTATCAATATAGTTGTGGTGTGGATTTAACTATTCTCTTTTTACTTACCGTTTGTGGTGTAAATTGCCACATTAAAAAAAAAACAACAAACCATTGGAACATTTACGCCTAAAATTTACTGGCATGAGTGTTGCTTATTCTAACTGAAGAGTTTTATTTAGATTGATCTATCTGGCATTACACAAATAATGTGTTCCGCCAGTTGAAACCAAAGGGGTGTCACAGTCAAAAATACTGAATATCAAATTCCTATGGTTTGTGTTTTTATTACACTGTTATCACAAATAAATCTGTTAAATGACGGCAGAGCTTCTTGGATGTACGTTCAGTCCATCAGTCATGTCTAGTAACCATCTGCTGGCAGATTATTCAAGAAAAAAAAAAAGACAATTTAGTTATCCACTCGATAAAAACACAAAACCAAACCTGTTACAAACAAGTTGCGTTTATTATATTAGCTGGAATACATATAGGCTGCAGTTCAGCCTAAAGAGATGTCTAGCTCCATGCACAATGCTGAAACATGCACAAATATTACAGTACAAAGGTGTAAGACTGAAAGAGTGTGCTATTGGTGACACTGAGAGGCTGAATACAATGAGCATGTTCACCCGTGTCCTCACCACAGGTTCACGCTATACCAACATCTGCTTGATCAGAGAGAGAAGCACCACAAAGACGCTCTCAACTTCGGTCTCCCTTCTTTAACTATGCAGGCCTGTAGTTATATGTGCAGTGTCTTTGAGAGACAGTGTAAGCAAATATCAGTGAACTTTAATTCAGTGACTGTGTTACAGCATGTTTGCGTGTGTGTGTTTAAGGCCTGAAATCTGTCTTTGGCAGCGCTTTTAATACGGCACAGGAGATGAATGAACCCTGAATGAACAGAAGGGAAACCCACAGTCTGAGCGGTTAATAAAAGATGAGAACAGTACAGAACTGAACCATAAGGAGACCCTGGCTCAACAGGTTCATCTTACTTACCCACATTACACAATTGTGTAACAAATTACACAATTACATTCCCTTAGAATGAAAGAAAAAAAAAGTTTGAAAAGCTGGTGAATTCATACATTTAACTGAGTCTGCTAACTTTAATAGTTCATACAGATTATGAATAAAACATAACACTGAAATTAATAATCCAAAAAACACTCTCCAGGAGCCCAATAAGGTACACATCTACACAAACAAACAAAAAAGGGGGGGAAAACTTAACATATCTTAAAAATGGCCCACTTTACAAAATAACAAAATACTTTTAAATAAAACCTATCTGATTGTAGTTTGGAAAAAAGCAGATAAAGGAAAAGCTTGACAACAGAAATATTTACCCTTTTAATTTCAATAATGCTTAAGCTGTTCATTTCCTTGTAAACTACAAAAATATCCTGGAATTATTTTTGGCACATTACGTGTCAACTGAAACAGACAATACAGAGCACTCGGCCTTACAGAAAAAAAGAATAACGACACAAATTAAAACACTTTGCTGTCTATACAAATAATGTGGACAGTCCATTTCTCAACCCCCCAAAAATACAAGATCTGTCTCACAGTTGCTGCAGGTGAACTTATTCTGTCATTTTGGCCAGTGCACAAACACACATACATATATACGTGCACATATATACACATCTTTGATGGCTGTACATTCACTTAATTAGGGGGAAGTGACACAACAACAAAAAAAGAGGTGGGGGGAGGGGGGAATCAGGCATTTTAGAAAAGGAAATCCATAAATGTTAAGGAAAAGGTTAAAAGAGTCATTTAATTTAAGTGCTGGTTAAGTGCAATTCTGGAGTGATTTTTCATGACACTGTGACCTATTTTTGACCTTTCGGGTCCAATGCCGGCTCACAATGCGGGTATAACACAGCTTTCAAAATTTCTCTTCTGTACATTCAATATTACTTTATTGCTTATAAATGACATTTAGAAAATAATTACAACTACTTTCCTCAATAAGACTTAGAAAATTGTCACTAGAAATGATTAAAAACCATTCTGAGTCATCACCAACTGTCAGAAGCTAAACATGGTAATGCTTACTGACTTGTGTCATAGCTAGGTTGTTTGACCTCCTAAATGTACACAAAAGAGATGTAGATGGAAAAACCTTGATGTAGTAAGACATATTTTCATGATTTAGTTTTTAAACGAACAATATGTGAAACTATATAACCACTGATCCGTGCTGAGATGTGTAATCGAATCTCACAGCCATTATTTCCAAAGAGAGCTAAAGACAGCAGTGGAGGAATGAAAATCAGAGACATGTGTTCGATGACTTCTGAGGGCAAACGGCACACTGACATATTAGTAAATGCGGTGGAGAAATGAGGAAGAATTCCTTGAGAATTGCGGTTTCAGTCGGCCTCTTTAAAAAGATCTTTCAGAAACTGGACTGTCTTGTGAGCACATAAAAACTACAGTTTCCGACAGCTGCGGCACCTTTGCCTGGAAGAGTCTGCTGGTATTTTCTGCTGGTACAGACTCGCACTATATCATCACATCGATTTGGGTCATGCTGCAGTTTTAGGATCATGTTTGCAAGCTTTGAGCGGGCACAAATGTATTATAGAAGGATTTACAATTCATAATGCCTAAAACTATTTGTGGAAGTTGAGAAACGGCTAAAACTCCACAGAATCCAGGGTGACCCTCCTGGTTCTTCTTGGTACCACACATGGACACCATCCCAGTGAGCTGGCCGTTCACCTTCTCAGCTTCCTCTTTTGCTTTTTTTGCTGCCAGCTTGTCTCACTTCCTCCCTCAGAAGTTAGCCCATCAAATGCAGCACTAACCTCTCACCTGCAAGCAACCCCGGGGTCGTATATCAGGCCTGCTGCCACTGCTTTAGCCAGCTAATAAAATGGCTTTAGGGATCGGCAGCTTGGATTACAGCAGCCCAGAGCACTAAGGTATTCTGGGAAAGCAAGGGCATGAGATACAGGAACCAGCATGTTCGCTTCAGCCCAAGACCCCAGAACAGGAAGTAGAGGTGAAGTCTGGGGAATGCATTTGGAAAGACACAGTTTTGGTTTTGCTGTGCAGAACAAAACAGAAAACAAAATTTGTGAAGTACAAAGCCAAACCACTGGCCGAAGTCAAATGAGTTATTTTCAGAAATTAAATATAATATTATATATACTATAAATGCTGTATGGGCAGCTTGGTGTAGAAAATTAAGTTTTAAGTTGGGTGGTAAAATCATTATATTATTCATTACACGTTACATTTTTTGCTGTTAAGCCACAACAGTTGTGTAGTGTCTCCATTTCTGAGGTATAATCCAAACCAAAGCTGTGAAAACATTATTTATACATCAGAAATTACTTATTTTCAGAAGGATCTAGTCTGTTTTTTTTACTTTATAAGTCGGTTTTAATGATGATTTAAGTGCAATTACAAATTCATTAGAATGACTTAAATGGATAAATCAATAGACAAAAAGAAATTTCCACTTGTGTTTCAAAGACTCCATCCAGCCCAAGCAGAGGGATGAATGACTTTACAGGACACAGAAGCACATGAAACCAGAACGAAGCAAAGCTGACCGTGATGGTGAGGCATGGATCTTTTTAAAGCTGTAATAACCAAGTAAGATGCTGCAAAGAAAGCAAACTGCCCACCTGAACATCAACTCCCAGAACATGATATGTACAGCATTAGATTAAAACAAACAGAAAAATAAAACATCCCACATTCCAGTGACATTGGAGACTGAGATCATCTGGTGGGCCGTCGTCATTGTCGGGTTCAATTGAGACACAGACTTGGATAAGAGAGATATTAATACATACAGACACTTCAGCGCAGTGTTTAAGGACAAGAGGAATCTGAGCCTGAATGAGAAAATGAATCATTGGTGGCACTGAAGTTTAAAAACCTAATAGAAACAGTACAAGACATTTCAACTGCAGCAGCTCTATTCAATATTTCAACAAGTACTAACCGCATGAGGACAAAGTGATGGGCATTCCGATGCTTTTGATGGTGAGGCCGTTTATCCAGGCACAAGCATTCCTAACTTAAGCATTCTGGATCCTCTGTGGTGTCATGCTAGCCACCCTCAAGGCTCAACAAGCTCTATGGCTGAAATAACTGAAAACACGACCCATCTAGGGACTGACTCGGACCAGCAGAATCCCTAACACTGGTTTCCTGTGACACACTGAGAGTTCGGATCAGTGTCTTTCTGTGCAAAGTTTGCGAATAGAGTTACAAAGCGGCTGTGAGGAGTCCGCTCTTAAAATCCTCCATAAATGTCCAGCATTTGGGATAATTCCGGTTAGCTACCCAGATGGACGAGGTCACATCGAGATGAGCTCTAGATGATTGGATTCTTCTCCAGCTGGTTTGGAATCCAAAGCCAACATCCCCTCAGAGCTACTGAGATGGGGAAGGGTCAACATGCAGATGCGTTTCCCAGCTTTTTAGTGTTGGTGGTCCTGTGCATTCGCTATGCTGGTTGTGCAACCATCAAATCCAGTTAAAGAGAAGATGAAGGAATTAAACAAATTAGTAACAGAATACAGTTCAATGAACATGATCAGATTACAAATGAGATCAAATAAACTTGGACACCAGGAGCTTTAAGGGTGAAAAACTGGGCTTAATTACATGAATGCATACTGAAGATTTAGCATGTACGCTTAGGATGTGGTTGACTACTGGCTCTACTTGTGAACACCTGGATAATCTATTAATTTTAGCTGTGTGCAATAATCCCAATGAATTCCTAAATTAAACTCCATCCAGAAAAATAAAAGTGAGATTGTCAAACTACTGGTGATAAATGACCCAAAGCCCCCTTCACATTCTCCCAACAGCAAGACAGTCACATGTCTGAGCCTCTCCCTTGTCACATCTGACGACTTTAATAAACTACGAGAAGCAGAAGAGGATTCATCGCTGTAGGAATATGTGACTTCTGTTCCCAAAGCGACAGCTGGAAGATGGTGAATTCATACAGGTGTGGTTGATGTAAAAGTACGACGAGGAGGTTCCCGGGGGTCACTGCCTGGAAATCTGATCATCTGATGGGTCTTTAAAGATATGATGAATCTGAAAAGAGGAGAAGAGCTTCATTCCTTGTGCGCAAGAGCCGCTTTGAGATGTAAGAACTGAGGCAATAAAAACACATGAGGATACTTTAGGTTAAGAGTCATTAATGTGTGCAATTAGCTTCTAGCTTGCTTTAATTAAGTATAACCCAGAATCCTCTATGGGATCTAGCTTTAGATAAGCTTAGCTGAATAAGGTTATAAGAAATACATGTACCTCTAGTTAGAAATGTGGGTAATCTGGGTCAATTGTCCAGGTGGCGATTTGACCATGACCGGCTTCCATCAGCTGTGCGGTTCCTGCTAGACCATGCTCCACGACTCGCAGACCTATCGTACAGGTCCACATCACCCGGAGGCTGCCTTCGCCATGAGGACGGAGTGGTTTCTCGATCATCTGCAGACTAGGAGGAGAACAAACATACAACAAATGTGATAAAGTATACTAATGATTTGAACTGATTTATTTATCCACCAAATTCTGTCATGTTCTGAAGGGTCATAGGCCTGTCACTAGAGGTCTGCATTCCCCCGACCAGATATTTTGTGCCGCGGGATTAAATTCCTGAATAAAACGCGGTAGCGGTTGGTAACTTTCCCATTGTCCCGTTACCGACGTCCATTCAGAACAGCATATCTGCGCTTTATTCTTATTGACCACCGGTACAGCCTGCACTCGGACTGTTATGCACGCGCTACACGCATGCTTTCTGCGCCACACGTTTTATTTGCGGGGTCTGTGCGCAGCATGTGCATAACGATGCTCAGAGCAGGCTGTACCGGTGGTAGCCTAAATATACGGCCCTCAGACAGAACAGTCAGGTTGTTGATGAATGACAGAGCAGAATAAGGATGGAGCAAAGTGTGGATGGTTTTGTTTATATTTTGCTTAGCCTATAATTTTAAATGACAGATGTCGTATTTATTTATTTTTCTCTGCGACACTTTTCCTATCGTGTTAACAGAAAAATGTCAAACGAATTCATTATTTTGACAAGACGAATAAAAATAGCTATTAGGCTATTTTTGTACAACCTATTTATTTTTTTCTCTCTGCGACACATTTTTCTATTGTGATGTAAATGTTAAACAAATTGTATCCTGACAAGACGAATAAAAATATGAAATAAATTTTTTGTACAATTTTATTTTCTCTGACACTTTTTTCCTACTGTGCTGCATAAAATATTAAACGAATTTTGTGTCTTAAGATAATTCATATGAATTCAAGTCAAAGTCAATAAATTCAAGACTCTTGACAAGATGAATAAAATAACATACAATTTTGTGCAGACTACACTTTTATTTGTTAGCCTATCTCTCTCTCTTTCAGTAGCGGAAATTTAAATGTGAGATTCAGAATATAACCTTGTGGGAGCGGAACTAAAAAAATAGTCCCGCGCAGACCTCTACCTGTCACAATCACATGAATGGCCTGAACATGAAATTTTGATCTATTATATGCAATATGACTGATTGGTAATTATTGTGGACATACAATTCCTTTATTTGAATGGCAATATTATGCAATAAATGAATGGCAATAAATGCTGGTATTGGCATTTAAAGCAGATATAGAAATGCCATGAAATACAATTAGTTTTAATTAGTTTCAGTAATATATTATACAATACTTTTTGACCAATGACTTTTGTACTCAATTGTGATTATTGCATAAGATTCAATTTATAGAGACTCACAGAGCATTTTCTAGTGGATAAAATAAAAACATTTACATAAGATATTTCCAAGACTTTTTCTGTGACGTTTTAATCTATTATTAATTGCTAAACGTTTTTTTAATTCTCTGATATTAGGAACATGTATATATATCATTCAAGGTTGCAGGGTTCCAAAAAAAAAACAGCAAGCACCTAAGGATAACTATTTTAAACATTACATTTAAACAGTTCTAGATGTTTAATTAAAATCTTTATTTTCAATTCCAAAGTAGTATAAGAATTCTTAATTTTTGTACAGACCAAAAACACTTATCAGACACGTCAGAGGAGAGAAACTGCTCAGACCGCAGAACAAGTCCTAATATAGAACGACTATTGTCTCTTTTCTTTACCATGAAGGTGGAGACTTTACACAGCCAACCAAATGGTTTATGACGTCAGTAATAAAAAGTTCCCAAATGAGGCAGCAGGATATGCCACACACTGCTGTGTAATTTCGTACACAGCAGACAGATGATAATTGTCCATAATAGGGCTTGAGACCTGCTGGGATACAAGAGGTGGGTGTACAGGAAACCTGTTACGATGCATTGGCTGGCAAATGGGCAGGCACAAACTTACAACTTCCTGTGTTACTCAGGAAGGGCAACGGGTGGAAACGACCCAAGCACAATCTTACAGAAAGATGTCATGACGGAATGGGTTCCATGTAAATCCACGGTACAGGAAGTTCAAAGCACATTATATGAATATTAGTTGTGATTGTCCTGAAATGGAAAATATCTAGATTTATTTTTTATTATTATTATTAAAAAATTGACTAACACAGATCAAGTGTACTCAGTACCAAGACTAGAACATGTGGCATGTTACAAAACATTTTGAAATAATAGGTTTAAAAAAAAAAAAAAGCTAATGAAATAAATTCCATTATTTTATATCCTGTGTGATTTATGTGATTCAAGTATGTGTAATCTGTGCTTATGTGAGTTACATTATTATTCAAAACCATGACATGCTGCATATCAAAGTACTATAGTATTACCTTCTGATACACTTACTGTATAGTACTGCCACATTCAATTTATAAAAGGGATATTTTTATGAACACTACAAATTATTAAAAATGAATAACCAAGTCTTTTTAGTGTTACTTTTTTCTTCACTTAGTTGGAAGTGTCTTCATTAAGAAACATTAAACAAGACAGAAGCACACCCAAAGTGAAGGAATCACGGAATCAAGCCCAAAAATTTACAAAGTGACTTTGTCCAGACAAGCTGTTAAAATATTTTTTTTAAAAATCACACTACACCGATGCCATTAACCAAAGTGCTATTATATAAGCAAAGTGTTGTATTAATAAGCAGCTAATGGTTGCCTGTCTAAGCACAATTGTCCCATATTAACTTCCAGAAAAAAACTAAACAAAACAAACCTGTGATCAAAATTCCTCCATAAATCACTCCAGATTTGTGTATTTTTATACGCAGGGAAGAAAAGTCATACTAGCTCTAAACATAACACGACATCTGGTCAACCAGGATTACTTCATACTGCTCTCCACGCAGCAGGAGTATTAATGATTTTAGCACATATATTTGACTCACATAGGCTTTGTGTCAGAGACATGAAACAGATGAGCTTTATCTGTCCTGGACATGTACCTTCATTAATAATGGAGGAGATAAAACCTCTGCCCCTGTCAGCACAATGACACCACATCATTGATGGACGGATTGAATCTCCCTCTAATCACTGTGGTATTGATCTAATATAAGACACAGTCTGGAAATCCATCTGAAGGTTTAAATAAAGACATCCACGGTCAAGCTATTCCACTGTAGATACACTGGGATAAAAAGGAACCATGCGATTTGATACAGGTCCAGAGAAATAAATAGAAATAATGGAATCACCAATTCAATACTGCATCCACAGCTGTGACCGCAATTCACTTAGCAGATCAGTTTTACTAGCAATGCAACAATGCAACTCGTAATGATTTACAAACAGCTGAAAAACAGACCAAATTCTCAGTTTCTTAATTTAAACATTGATTATGTTGTGTTTGTCACAATCATAGTGATAACCCTGAGTTTGAGGTATTTATTGAGATGACTAGTCTAAATTCAGGGTTAAAAAAAAAATCACATGAGTTGGAGATAAAGTTGAATGCATGCATGACCATGGCTGATTAGATAAATCCTTCCTAATGGCCTCCAGATTGAGTGGGAATGGATGGAGATTGCTTTCAATAAGTTGTTGAAGCCTGCTAGACTGAGAACATGTAGATGCTTCTTCGACTATAGGCATTTTTGTGTCCCAGGAATTGATTTGCATTAAAACTAATATTTCATTTTTTGCCTATTTATGCTACTATTCTCATTAATTTTATGTATAGATTTGATTGTTTTAGTCTTGTCACAGACTTAGACTTTCAACTGTACCTAAACAAAGAGTGATATTTATGTAAAAAAAAAAAAAAAAAAAGTCAATCTTTACACAAAAAGTATTAAGTATATTAGTCTGTTATGTGTATTTAGTATACATTAAAATGCTAGCTATGAAATTAGCCTTAGCAAGACAAAGGAGTGAGTTATTTTATTCTAAAAATGTTAAAAACAACATTTCCATCATCATCATGGCGGAAATTACCCTTTAGTGGAAATGAAAACGACTAAACATACAGAATTCTTCTGAGACGTATAAGAATACAATGTTGGAAATAGTAGAAAATTAAAACTACTGAGAGAGTGTTTTGACTGAGGTCGTTTTTCCAAGTAAAAAAATACACACAATTGAAGAAAAGTCTATGTTCATACATATCTTTACTCACAAAACTTTTTCCACTTTCAATTTTAAAGGTTTATGGTACAAATCACATTTATTCTACAGATGGAAAGACATTTTAAAGCTGAAAGAGATAAAAGATTAATGACAGAATCCCCGGCAGAGAGAAATAAGAGCGAATGAATGATTGTGTGATCACAATAGCAGTTTTTGAAGTCGTGACCTCTGGTTATGCAAGTGCTAGAATTCACTTGTGCATAAATCTTTCAGCTTTCTCAGATAAACGAACAGGCATTTGCCATCCATCAGAGCAATAGACAAAGAAAACAAACATGGCACGAAATAGAACGTGAGAAATAGAGATTGAAGAAAAAGGGGCAGTTTTTGTTTTTGAAGTCGTGTGCCAGGAGGGGGCCATGTTTGAAGGCCTTCTCAGTGATTTAATTAGGTATTTGTGGGTAAATTTGTGGGATGGGCTGTTTGAGATGTTTAATGAAAGGATGATAGTAATTGGTGCGCTGATAGGATACAGCTCTATTCTCTTACTTGTATTCTTAAGTAAATGAAAAATGGTGAAAGCTAGTAAAAAAGGTCTACTTTCCCGGTTTTGTTTTGACTGCTGGGGTGACGCCAGACTCAAATTGGTTTAGCTGCTGAGACAAAAACTGCCAGTTGACCTGACTAACAGTTTTCCTAAAACCAAAGGCATGACCTCTGACCTTTCCTCCTTTCAACACCCTTTACATCTATCAATATCTTACACAGAAATATCAGTTAGCAATTAAGTAGCAAAAAATGAAAACAGCTTTATTCATATATATATATATATATATATATATATATACTCTATATATATACCTGCAAACATCACCATAAAGAAATCTGTTGTTTCAATGGAAAAGTGAGTTATGTCCTTCTAATTAAAAATTATGAGGTCAAAGCAACTTTCAAAACATATGCATGGATGAATCGCTCACAATGAGATCAATAACCTGCATTTAGAAAATAGAAACACATGCATTTAATTTCATGTCAACATTTCTAATGATGCTTATTAGATGTCAATATTAATTGCATGCTAACATAAAAGTATATCAGAATCATTTGTAAGTCGACTCTTCTATGCTTTTTACATAGCACTATATTTTGTAGTTGTTACCTATGAAAATCAGTCACTTTTTAGGTTCCATTTCAGTTAGGATGCTGCCTAGGAAGGAAGTTCACATTGCTCATCCATCTGCCATTAAAGTAACTACATGAATATTTCTTTTACAGAGCTTGTCTGAGTGTCAGCACCTCATCAAGTGGAACATTGACACGCCTTTTCCGGTGCAGCCATAGAAACCACACAAATCTGAGTTGTTTGCCTTCCGCATTTGCATTAAACAGCTGAGAAACAACATCTGTGGGAGGTGGAAGCGACGGCCAGAAATGGATCATCTAAAAGCAGCTTTCATGTAACTAACTAAGCAAGCATGTGAGTTAGAGCCAGACCGATATATCGTTTAGCCGATATTATCGGCCGATATGAGCCTTTCACCGATATATCGTATCGGCGAATATGCTGCCGATATGAAAATTTTTTTATAGAACATATAACGCAGATTAAATGCTTCTGAATAGTGTAATAACTAGTTTGTCCAGCAGAGCGCGCTCCATTGTTTGCTACTGGCGACCCAGGTCAGTGTAGTGTAGAGATGCTCGGATGAGCTCAAACTTCACCCGAGTCCGCTGCTTCAAATTATCCACCCGCCACCCACCCGCACCTATATTTGATCGTCACATTACAATGACTCTAATTCTTAGTTTTGCATGATGATATGATGAATAGATGGTTAATTTATAACAGCAGATTCAATGACGTTAGAGACTAGAGCTGATCTGCGCATCACGGCACGCATCTGCGGCACATTAAAGCCTGTGTTACGGCTACCGGAGCTGATCGTGGCCACTCAGTCAATGCTGGTGTTTATTCTGGCCGCGGCCCTGAACTCATGCTTATCACATCGGTCACATCACGTCGCGCCGTGCCGCTCGCATCCGGTGTAGAATAGAACCCATTATAATCAGTAATGTTGTCTACACTGTATGCAGTAAACTGATGCCTCGTTCTATTTATGACGTGCTGACACAAAGTTCAGATGATTTTCAACGGTCGCTTTGTCGCGTCCTGTTGCTGCACAGACACGGTGTCAGCATAGTTTGTCAGTACAGTCAGTAACGTAGCAGATTGAAAAGTTAGTATCTTTCTGCAGTCCAATAGACTGCAGTGCGGTGGTGGCTTGAGTCTGTTGAATGGTGATTTAACGCTACGTTGTCACCCGACTCAATGCTAAGTAAATAAACAACAATGTCTCCGTTTTTTACTCTCAGTGAGCTTATCATATTCGTTTGCTACATTAGTAGGGCCCTATGATTTTCGCGATGCAGAAAACATATATATTTAAAAAAGTGTAGGAAAATGTCATCTCCAATTAAAAGCTTTAAATTTTCTAAGTTTTTACCATAAATTCTTATATACTGCATGACCAAATCTAAGTGACATCCGAACACCACACCCACACTTGATGCTTGATTTTATAAACCTGGTAGTAATAGGCTGAACCCATTAATTAGGGGGTGTCCAATATCCACATAATTTTTGCCATTCATGTGGCAAAATGTGGTATTATACCACTTTAAAGGGAAGCATAAATATTAACTTGAAGACTTCAATCAGATCATAAAGTTCCATACTCTGCAAATAGTGAAGTCAAGTAAAAAGGGGGAAAAAAGCAGGTTTAAACTACTAATATAAAGAATAAGAGTCTGGTTTATTTATTCACACTTTAGCTTAGTCTTGCATGTACTTATGATGTATTCAAATGACTGAAGACACAGACTGGCTACAACAACTGGAAAACACAGTTTTCTGGTAAGGATTCCATATCAAGAAAAACAGAAGAGAAGAGATACCTCAAGGGCCTATTTTTCTCTTTCAGCAGACAGAGAATGATTATGCTTACAAAATATCTGTACTCTTCACCTTCACAGAGGATTAGGAAAAGAAAGACTTCCAAATCAAACAAAATAAAAAAAAAAGTGTTAAATTACATGGCTAAGAAATCTTAATACGTATTAATATTATATTAATAATAAATAATATTAATTAAAAATGGTGGCACCAAATATGTGCCCAGACTTTGGGGGGAATACCAAGAGAATAAACAGACAAGATTGGATTTGGATAATCAGATGAATTGCATAAGCATAGGCCTGTCGCAATAATCAATATATCGACTTATCGCGCAATATATGTACATGACCTCAATCATTTTTGGTGACGCAATATATCACCCATTATTTTTCCTTAAAAATTTATGTCATCGTGTTTTTTACATTCCACTTGTGCCTATGTCTTTTGCAGCTTCTCGTACATAATGTGTAGTCATGAGGTGCTAGTTCAAATTTAAAAAATGCTTCTACAAAATAAGTTTCATCTGCAGATATGGCCTTGCTTAGAGATCTGTGCCTTTGTGCATACGGACATCTGACTGCTAAGTAGTGATTGTGTTTTTCAGCAATAGTGTGCACCCTTAATTTACAGAGAAAAGAAGGTCAGGGAAAATCTGTAGATGGAAAAATCTCCATACAAGTTCTTTGTGCATTTTTCTTTTTTTCTACTTGTTACTTTGCACTTTTTGTTAGAAAATGTTTATTTACTATTTATTCAAGTTTTTTATGGTATCTAATATTTTGATACTTAATTTCCATGATCTAAATATTCTTAAAAATTAAAAGTTTGTTGTCATTTGGAAGTGGGCCTTCTTCCATTATTATGCTGTTACATTATGAATATATATTCAGTGGCATAAAGTGGTCTTTAAAATGACAATAATAACGCTTATTGCAATTATTTCTGGGGCAATATATCGCACAACAAAAAGTTGTTATCATGACAGGCCTACATAAGCATACTGCTGACTTAACCTCAGTTTTAGCAGGATATTTTATGCTCCTGTTTATCTTTATCTTCATTGATCAAAATTGACCACGGCGAAAAACGACCATCAGTGGACTGAGCAAATCTCTTATAGTAAAAATAGTTACAATTTGCAAGAAATGCATTCATACTAACAAACTAGCAAATATCATGATAATTCAAAATAAACCTGAACCTATGCTGAACATTAAAACAGAGCTCCAGAGTCCAGACAACAAAAAAAATTGTAGTTTGGGCTCCTCCTCAATGCATCCTATAAATGTTGTCATATGCATGCACACATCCAGTCTGTTTTTTTTTTTCATTAGTAAGTAACATGAAATTATATAGGAGGTGTTGAATTGTATCTTTAGCTTCTTGCTTTCTTATCATGTAGACAACAGGTCAAGTAAAATATGAATAGGCAATATAGCACATATATTTAGCAAAATGCTCCTCTTTGTTTTTTTTTCTAGCTGACTAATGAGCTTATGGACACCAAATGGTTATTCTGAGCCTGAGGTGGCATTGTTTACAATCTTCACAGGTTTTCCACAGTTTGAAACACTGAATGTGCAATTACATTAGACATTTCAGTAAGTTGTACTGTAGGCTCTCTTATAATATACCTTTTGGTGCCCATTCATGTTTATTTCATACTATAGTAGTAAAGAGAAAGATACAATGAGGTGCTAAAGAGATCACTCACACCACATTAAAGAGTGACAAAACGGCATTTACTGTTTGAATTTCGTTATGAATTTGGCATAATTTTAAAGTTTATACTTTGTTTATTAAAAGGTAACAGAGCAAAAATCTTACTGCCATTCGACGGCAAGTGCGCTACAAATAATATGAAGCTCACACATTAACAGAACCCAGCATATAGACTAAAGATCTTGATAACAAGAAGCCATATTAGTATCGATTATAAACAAGAATTGTTAACGATATTGTTAATTTCCACAATGCTGTTGTGAGAGGTTTGGCAAGACATACAGTGGCACCGTCTTAAAGGGGTCATATGATGCTATTTTAAAGATAATTATTTTGTGTATTTGGTGTAACAGAATATGTTGACATGCTTTAAGCTTGTCAAAGGAAGGGGCTTTGTTGAAAACGACGTGTTTGAGAGAGGCGGGGCATAGAGGACCTACAATAATGTACAGTATTTGAAAAATAATGTGTTGTTTGAACTTTACATTAAAGCATGGCAACATATTCTGTTACACCAAATACACAAAATAATGATCTTTAAAATAGCATCATATGACCCCTTTAATGTTCAAAAACTAAATGTAAAAATTCACTGCATGACCAAACATTTAAGTGAGATAATTATATATTTTTGAAAAAATGCCCCCTCTAAACTTCTAAAAATGTAAGGCCGCCTCACAGCTCACGAAATCAGGCTTGTGCTGAATGTAAGCTATTGTGCAACAATTGCCCCATTGTAAAAACAAAAATGCACTGCATGATCAAACATTTAGGTGAGATAATTAATAATAATAATATCCTCACAAGAGTCACCTAAGAGGGGAATTCCTCCCATTTTCAAAAATGAAATTCAGGCCCTGAATGGATGTCTGTAAAAATCCTGACCGGAGCTTCACTATAAATAATTCTTAAAAAGAAGGCTTCAAAAAGATTGGTAACGGTGATCGGTATCGGCAGATACTGCTTCCTGTGATTGACAATCGGTGATCGGCCCAAAAAATCCTGATCGGAGCACCCTTACATTTAAAGGTTAAATACGTTTATAAAATTATATTTTTTTCAATAAAGTTAGCATGACTATGCTTGTCCAGTCTGTGAATGGAATCTACATCTTTTTATTGAATATGGTCAAAAAGTAAAAAGTCAGTACTCGCCATGGGGTGTTTACGGCCCCTTGGTTGAAGTTGCTGAGCACTGACAGGCTCATGTGCAATAGCCCTCTCTGGTGAAGGAGTCTTCTTGTTCCGTCGTCCCAGATCATGGACCGATGGTGCTGCATTGTTGATTCTGCGCATGTATACTTCGACTGGGCTGGGTTTACTTCCACATTTAGCAACAGTGCTGGAGTTTGATGGAGTGTCCAACACTGTAGTTGCCCTATATGCTCTCCAGGTGGATGCAGACTCGCCCTCATCCTCTGAGCCATCTTGCCTTAGTGCTCGAGCAGATTCATCCACAGAAGCTGCCCCACGGCTCCTCCAAGTGCTCCTGACAGTGACGTTTCTCATTTCTGGCAAACTGTCATCATATGAGTGGTGGTTGTGGTGGCTTTTCCAGTTGGTCACGGTGGTGCCGCTACTGCTGCTCTCAAACCCAGACTCAATGTCATTGTTCAAGTCTGAAGCTTCTGAAGACTGGAGGCTGAAACTGCTTTGAGATAGGAGGGTTGCCTCCACGGGAGCAGTCTCAAGGTAACTGTGAGGTTCAGAGAAGTCAGCATCAGTCTCACCTTGACATAGCGTGATCTCACTCTTAGGGATGGATATTTCGTAAGGTATAGAGATGCTACCTCTGTGCTCACTACTGGGACCGATGACAATATTACTTGTGGAAGTGTGCCTTTCCTTGGAAGGGGGTTCACTTGATAAACTACTGCTCCGACTGCTTGTTTGAGAGGAGCTGGGGTCATTGGGATAGAAGGTGATACTGCTGGTCATCTTGCTAGTCAATACTGGCTTAGTAGAGATCTTGGGTTTCCCACTAGTGGTCAAAGGCTCTGTGATTCCCCCTGACATCACTTCCTTTCTGTCAATCTCAACAATGGCTTGCTTGATGACAGCTTTTGACTGGAGGGCTTCACGAGGGCTGCATACCCTGCGGACTTCAATACCCGAGGTAGTATGCGTAGTTTCCTGGGTATCCCCTTCCATTGTAAGAGGTCTGCGTTGCTCCTCACTGAAGGGGCCCTTTGAGGAACCATCAGAGTAAGATTCTTGCAGTCGTGAGTATCTAGTGTACTTTGATGATGTTCTTCCACTTGTACTTGACATCAGGGGGTCATTTTGCTCACCTGCCAATCGTCTGGAACCAATGGATTCAGTTTCAGAGGCTGAGGAGTGACCATCAGAACCTTGATCACTCAGAACAGATGGAGATACATGGGATCTGTAAGCAGTATAAGATCCATTTGCCTTGGACAGACTCAACATTGAAGAATTATCCTGATCTAAACTCTCGGGTTCGGTTAGTCCTTTCTCAGGTGAAGCAATGATAGCAGCACTGGCTGAATTTAAGAGTGACCCATCAGAGTTGTTTGATTCACTATCACTTCCCGTGTACTTGGACAACTTCTCTGTTTGACTCTTATTGCTATCACTGTCATTTTGCTTGACCGGTGGCTTCCAAGACTTTTGGTCATTAGCAGCTGGAGGATAGCGACTAAGGACCGAAACTTTCTTGCTTTCATTGACAGCACTTGATGAGGCACTTCCAATTTTTTCATCTTTCTTTCCATCTTTTGTCCCATTATCAGAAGTAGTACTGGAAGCACCAGTCTTCATACCTTTCCTAGCATTATGTGCTGGACTAAGAGTCCTTCGTACAGTCTTTGGGGAGCTTTCTGTAGAGTGACAAAGGTCTTTGTTCCTCTGCTTAGTTTCTCGCCTCTGCTGAGGAGATGCCTCTCTGCTTTTGTACTTTGAGGTGACTGGTTCAGAAGCAGCAGGACTCCTATTTAGTAATTTAGGTTTCTCCTGTCTGAAGCTTCGTACATGGATCTCTTCATTTTCTGCCTTGCCATTCTCCAGGACCTTTGTAGTGCTGGTAACTGCAGAGTTTCCATTACTACTGCTGCAACCATTGAGCTGCATTTTCATCTGCTCAACCTGGTCATGGAGAGCTTGACTGCGGTTCCTCTCCTGCTGGTACTTTTCTATCAGTTCAGCATTCTTGGATTCCATGTTCTTCAAGTCTTCCTCCACTAACTCCATCTGCTTCAAACGATTCTTCAATCTTTCCACTTCCTGGCTGAGGTCTTTAACCTTATTATCTTCTTGCCCCTCAAAGCTATTTTTCTCATTCTCTGACTCATTTCTCAAATCTAGGTCATCTGCATGCTTCAAGTAGTCAAAACTCTTCTTCCTGGCCAGTTTGGATGCAAGGCCAGCTGAGAACTCATCCTCAATTCGAAGATCTCTAGAATCAAATCGGCTATGGTCTGCTGGGCCTAGCTTGCTCTTCTTAAGTTCAAGCTTCTCAGTCAGCTTGAGTATGATTTTCTCATCCTCTCTCTGCCTTTCCAGAAGTCTTTTGCGTTCAGTCACAAACGTCTGAGTGAGACTCTTTAGTTTCTCCATCTCTGCAGTAAGGGATTTTTCTGCCCTGTCTAGTCGAGCTTCAGAGGTATCCACTTCCTTGACACGGGCCTTCAAGGCATCAAGCTCTGCTGCAAGCTTTTTGGTCAGGTTTTTCTCCTCATTAAGACTAATGCACAACTGCCTACAGTCTGACTTGCTTTTACCAAAAGCCTCTTCAAGCTTCTCAAGTTCAGTCATTCTGCGCTGAAGACGCTCAATCTCTACTTTAAGATCCTTGGTAAGTTTCTCTTCCTGATCTAATTTCTCCCTAACCTTACGACAAAGATCCTCCGCTTTCCTGACCTCTTCATCTTTGCCTTCAATTTTGAGCAATCTTTTCCGCATTGTCTCCACATCGGTGAGCAGTGAGGAATTACTCCCTTCAGCCTGAATGATTTTGTCCTGAATGTCAAGAAGTTCATCTTCAGCTTTCTGTAGTTTGCCTCTGGCCTCTTCAAGCTCATCCAGACGTCTTCCTAAATTCTGCAACTTGTGTCTCAGATGGCGATTTGTTGTGTCTGTCATTTTTTCTTTCTGATGCTAATCTACTGTGAGGTCTTTATGATTGTTTGATGGAGGGGCACACATTTGTATGGTGGTGTTTTATAATGGTTCCGGTAACTTAAGATGAAATCAAAAAGGACAGGTCCCTATGCTTTCCTCCTACCTTCAGGAGGAAGTTTTGAATACTTTTATTTCAGCCTTGTCTCCGCTATCACTGGTGATCCAAGTGAGTTTTGATCACCTGCAAGACAAAAAGAAAAGAACACAAAGCTTGAGTGCCTGTTGTAAAACAAATACAAGCATATTTATGACAAAAGATTATGAGAAATGTCTGTAATTGCTAAGTTGTTTCCAAATTTTACACCATCTGAATAATTTACCAAGTTAAACTATGGTTTGCGTAACCACATCAACCATAGAGTTAATGACACAAACCTGAATGCATACTACATCTGTGCATGATTTTACATTCATAAACCTTCAGTTTTAACCTTCAACTTAACCAATTTTTTGTGATTTTTAAAAATGTCAAAGCGCACATTAATAAGCCAATGGAAAGATTAGGCCACTAAGCTAAGGAAGACCTTGGAAGGGGGAAGAGTATGACAAAGGAGAAGAGACATACACTGCTTTGTTGGCCCTCATCATAACCTATGCTAATTGCAGCATCGATTTCTTGCTGAACTTTTGCTGACAGTCAGCAGCACAGCTCTCTGATACATGCCCTCGGTCCATGTGCCTGTCTCTATGGCAACATTCATAGTGACAGCGAATGTTCCCTCTAAGCACACGCAAAAATTAGTTGGGAAAGCCATTTGATTGTATTCTAGTAAAAACGAAAGAATTGCAATGGTCAAGTTAACCGCTATGAAGTTGATGTCGCTATAGAGTTAGAACCGGTGAATGTGGTTTACAGGTTTCAAAGAAAGAGAATGATGTGCGCCAAATGAGTCGCTGTAGAAACCGAATACTTCAGTGGTTGCGGACGAAATAGCTCAAATCGAGAGCAAACGCAATGACATGAAATAAAACGTCCTCGTGTTTTAAAGAAGAGTGGCTTGATTAAGTGCTGGAAATAGCGGATGATGGGCACAGAACGGTAACAACACTCAGAGACATTTATAGTCACACACAGGTGTATTGTGCAAACTGTACTTCATAGGGATGTTTAGAAAGCTATAGAAGAATTCACGTTCACGTGAAAATATTTAACTTGCAGATCTCAGTTTAAATACTTCAGCTTGTTTTGATATTATATTATATTAGGCCTATATTATAAACCTAATAAATAATTGACCTTGTTTTTTAATGGAGTCACTTATGCTCATCAAGGCTGTATTTATTTGATCGAAAATACAGAAGAAAAAAAACATATTTTTTTTATTGTGCTGTTTTGATTCTTTGATTAGGCTAATAAAAAGTTAAAAATAACATTTATTAAAAATATAAATCTTTTCTAGCAATAAAAGTCTTTACTATCACTTTTTATCCATTTAACACATCCTTGCTGAATAAAAGTATTAATTAAAAAAAAAATAAGAAAGAAAAAATTTACTGACCCCAAAATTTTGAATAGTATAGTGTATATTGTAATACAAAATTTCTATTTTGAATAAACACTGTTCTTTTTAACTTTTTATTTAACAAAGAATCATGAAAAAAATATCACAGGTCCAAAAAATATTAAGCAGCACAACTGTTTCCAACATTGATTATAAATTAGCATATTAGAATGATTTCTGAAGGATCATGTGACACTGAAAACTCAGCTGTGCTTTACAGGAATAAATACAATTTTAAAGTATATTAAAATAGAAAACTTTTATTTTAAATTGCAATAATATTTCACAATATTATTTTGTGAAATAATATTCAGTATTTTTTATCAAATAGATACAGCCTTGATGAGCCTAAGAAACTTCTTTTAAAAATGTACTGATCCCAAACTTTTGAACGGCAGTGTATTATACTGTAAAAATATTTTCTCAGGTAACCTAAAATGTACATAATTTAGTTACATCAAGGGTCAAATCAAATATAAATAGCACATTAAAGTGAAAAGTTACACACTTTTTTTTTGTGTACGTGCTGTACAGGTCTGGTATAAAGAATGTTTTTGCTCAGATGGCCGAAATGTCCGCCCAATAGAGAAATGTTTTGCTCAGCAAGAAAAAAAATTAGAGGGAACATTGGTGACAGCCACCCCTAATCATGCCCTCAAGATGCTGAGCATGATTTAGAATGTTTAACACGACAGTTCTGGCCAAAGCAACGCATGCTATAAGTAGCCTACAGGACAGTGCTACTCAAATTAAAAATAAAAATGGTGTAGCCATTTTTTATTATAAATTTGATGCTGTGAGCCACTACTTCTTACTAATTTACTGCTTTTAATTTTAATTTACCAATCAAAATCTCATGTATATTCAAAATGACTCATTAAATCTAATGCAAAATGTCTTAATAGCAGTTGTCTGTTTAGTCGTCAGTTGTTTGGTAAAACCCCAAGCCTTCACAGTAACATCAGGTCTAGAGGTAATAGAGCATTTTATACAGCTTAATCTAAAGTGAATTTCAGTATGACCGTTCGACTGGCAGGCCCACCAAGATGGAGACGGGCCCAAATGAATGAGCTGCTGTGTGTGGATTGCAGGAATTCTGTCATAATACTTTCATAATCCCATAATTTTATGGTGTGCGAGGCACAGGCAGCAGAATTTCGGGGTTTAGACAGGAAACGAGTCATCTAGTATATGTACCAGCCAAGCAGGAAGGAGATCCAGCACATCTAAGGCAGATTTCCATGACACATGACATTCATAATCACTCTGGCAAGATCCCCCAGTGAAGGAGCTTCTAAGGTCAGGATTTCACACACAATGATTCACAAGCACACAAGAGCAAACTAACATATGCACATCTATAATGACTACCTACCATGGATAACGATTCAAGGACACATGCAAACAAACTTGCACAGTATGAATTTACAAAATGGGTCTCAAACTACAGGCTCATGGGCCGGTTTCAAACGGTCCATCAAGTGTTAAATCCCTATATCCAGTCTATAACTAATTTTTAATTTATTGTTACAGTTTTTAATTAGTTTGTTACGAATGTGCCACACCAGTAATTCATTCTCATTATAAATAAATGGAGCGGTCTACACAAGGATGCAGGACACACACAGTGAGGGTCGACACTTTTAGGCATGCATAGTAGGAGTTTTGTTTATGACTTAACCTTTGGCCCCATTTTTAACTATGTAATGAAGGACACTAAAATCAGTAGCAGTGACGTGCGAGTGAGAGGCGGTTATCACAGAAACCCTAGATGCTGAGGATCTAACAGAGAGAAGCAAAACCTGTGACTAAAAGCACAAAGAACTTATATATTAAACTTATAGTGGATCAACAACTGGGCTAAAATTTTGCTATACCTTGAACTCAGACTCAGAGGTTTGCCTTGCACCAGAGATTGAGGTGCAAACAATGAGCATAAAATGTAATGTCTCATCGTGTAATGTCTTTAGACCTCAATGTAGAATACATGAGAGGACATTTTGCATGACAAGTAAAAGTCTTCAAATTTCTCTAAAGAGAAAAGAAATTAAAGGCATGGTAAAGTACCTGAATGCAAAGGAAATACTTCTTTCTCTTGCTTCTTAGCTTCTAGTCTCATACACACACTTTCTCTTTCTTCCTCAAGAGCACCACACATGCAATCATGCACCATATCATTAGTCCTAGCCACGCAAAGCGATTTGTTGGCCTCCTGAACATTCTGTTCCCCCGGAGGAAAGGGGGGAAAAGACTTTCCCCTGCACTTGACATCAGTTTGGTTGGCCAGCCTGAAGCTCTTTATTCTTTATAAACATCCCTTAATAATCCCTTAACCCCAGAAATCATGCCAATCACAACCAACAAGAGACAGAGGGAGTGCACGTTTTATAAACATGGCTTCCAGATGAAAAATGATTTGCGATCACTACAAGGTGAGGTTTAAAGCCACACTGCCCCAACTGAGACAAATGTCAAGATACAAGAAAAAAAAGATTACATAACGTACAAATAAAATGTTGTTTTATTGTAAAACAACATCATTCTACTTTCAAAAGGAATAAATTCATTTGCAGAAATGTTTTTTTTAAAGTGTATGTAAATAGTTTGCAGTAGTTTATTTCTGTATGTGGGCAGAAACCACACACAATAGTGAAAAGATTTATAGTCACCTGAATTTCTTCACAAATTGACTACATTATCTGAAAGTAGACAGATCATATGTGGACCATGTGTATCTTCACTTTTACTGAAAGTCATTGTATCGCATCAACTTTTCTTAACATCAGATCGCTAACTGTCATGGCCGCTCTTGACACCTTAAATGGCAAATTTCTCTGCAACACATCAGTGTTATGCATTAACAATGGCGATCCTGTATTGATTGAATGCTTTGTCAATATTGTACGGTTAAAGGGGTCATATGATGCGATTTCAAGTTTTCCTTTCTCTTTGGAGTGTTACAAGCTGTTCGTGAATAGATACCTGATAGATAGGATCACCTGATCCTGGAAGAGTAGACTACAATGCCGGCTGTTCTGACTCACAGTCTATAAGTACGTTTTCATATTTAAAGAATTTGCCACTGATGATTCAAACGCGAGTTTTGAGCAGTATAGAGTAGCGCTTGTTGTTTGTCGTTTCTCCTATCACAAATGCAGACATGGTTTTATGTTTACGCAGCGCGATGCAACGCAACGCGTAAAAAGACAGTATAAGTCATTATAATCTGTAATTATGTCCCCACTGGATGCAACAAATGCCTCATTTATAATGGGTTTTAATGGTTTTGGGTCGTCGGTCCGGCCGGGACACGGCATCACAATATGGTAAGGGGCGTAACATTTCAGTCACACGCTTGAGGTATTCGGCCAATCACAACACACTGGATAGCTGGCCAATCACAGCACACCTCGCTTTTCAGACCGATGAGTTTGTAAAAATCGACGCGTTTCAGAAAGGCGGGGCATAGAGGAGAAACAATAATGTACAGTATATGGAAAATAATGTGTTTTTTTTTTTACCTTAAACCGCATAAACACATTTCATTACACCAAATACAAGCAAATAATGTTCTTTTTAGCAACATCATATGACCCTTTTAAAAGTAATGCCAAGACAGCACACAACTGAAAAGAGAGAGAGAGAGAGAGAGAGAGAGAGCGCAAGGAAGAGAGAGATG